GGGCACTCGGGCGCGGGGACCAGCCGCGGGGCGCGCCCTCCCGGGAAGGGGCAGCGGGCGCGGGCAGCAGGACTTCACCGCCGACTTCAGCCCCGCTGAGTGCCCAGCCGTCCACCATGGAACCCGTGACCAAGTGGAGCCCCAAACAAGTGGTGGACTGGACTAAAGGTGAGCGGGCCTGGTGGGGGTGGCAGGGTGGGCAGGCGTCTCCAGCGCCGGGGATCAGGCGGGCGAGGAGCTGGGGTGGGTGCTCAGCCCCTCCTGCAGGCGAGGAGCAGGGAGAGCGCAGCGCGGTGACCGTGCAAACTTCTTCAGTGGCCTGTGCGCCCCTCGCTCTTGTGCCTGCTGTCGAGGGTGCGGGTTGTGGCAAGCTGAAGGGAGCCCTATCTTTAAACTAGGAGGGCAGGGGTGGCGTCCGAATGGAGGGTGAAGGTTGGGGGTGCGGACCTCAGACGGGGGGCGCCTCCCGGCCCGGCCTGGGTGCGGTGCCGGGCGCCCCGGCTGTGCATCCCGGAGCGCAGAGGCACAAGGCGCCTTTGTGTGGGTGACTCCCCTCAGACCTCGTAAACGCCGCCCGCCCAGAGCAGTTCGCCGGCGTGACGGGGCGGTTGGACAGGTAAAGGGAGACTCCGGCGGCTCGGCCAGCCTCTCTGTTTTTGTTGGAGAAGGAGAGCGGGCGGCGCGGGCGCCAACACGGAGGCATTCGCGCCGGCGAGAAGCCTTGCGCCAGACTCCCCGGGACTCGGCGACTTTCGCTCCGGGACGGCGCCAGTACCCCCGGTGGCGCTGCATTTTTAGGCTGCCCTGGGATTTAAACTCTGGGAAGAAGTGTAACTGTTTTGAACCTGAGTTAAGCTGTCGTTTGGGAAAAGGAACAGCAGTGGGCTGGAGATGCAGGGGGCGGTGCAGCAGGGCTGGAAGCTTGAACTCCGAGCTGTCACGCTGACTTTTCAGTACCTCCCAAGATTTCGAGGCAAAGGTGATAGAGGTTCTCAAGCTTTGTACTTTTTCAAGAGAACACGTCCACCAAGAACAAGCAATTTTTCTCGGGCTCCGCATCCCCTCCCAGCTCGGCATCTTTCTGTTTCAAGTTACTTCTATTTTTTTCTTTCTTCTATCAGCTCTTCCAGGTGACCAATAGTGTCCTTTCTCAATAATAATAACTAGAATTGTATAGTGCTTTACAGTTTGCTAAGAGCTCTCTCTCTGTTACTGTCCTTGGTCATCAGTAAGCCTGAGAGGTAGGTAACGCTGGTAAGATCAGGTCATCTTTCTAACTGTCTCACCCGTGGCTGTGGCATCACCGGTCATCTCTGCATCTCATTTCTCATGCCTGCCTAGCAGACACAGACCTCGTTGAATGGGATGTGCTCGATGTGTGGGATGTGTGGGGTGTGTGGGGTGTGTCAGTGGGGTATGTCTCATCATTTCCTGCTCCTCTGGGATAAGGGACAGCAGATACTCTCCTGAGAAGAGGTTTGTCCAGAGACCACAATCTCTGGGGCTTTTAAAACGAAGATGAAAACACCAAATACTTATACATTGGGTGAAGTGTAAATAGCAGTGGTAGTGCTTGATACAAAACATTAACTTAACAGCTGTAAAGACCCAGATCCTACTTTGCAAAGAGGTGTGTTCCTCCATTCAAGATACTACCAGGTTCCCCATCTAGCAACTTGCCCAGCTGGAGTTGGTTGATCTGTTTTACTCCTGTGTCCATCATAGAGGCAACTAGGAAACTGATGACTTCAGCAGTTTTTGATCTTGAGAACCACTCTGTCCAGTGTGCTACCCAGTAGTCACAATGTGGCTGTTAGGCCCTTGAAATGTGACTGGTCAGAATTGCCATGTGCTGTAAGTATAATATATACATGTGTGTGAAGACTTGTGAAAAATAGCTATGACCTCATTGCTGGTTTTCTATACTTATTACACATTGAAATGATAGTATTTTGACATGTTGAGTTAAATAAAGTTTATTGCTGAAATGAACTTCACCTTTATTTTTACCTTCTGAAATGTGACTCCTAAAATTTTTTAAATTATGCAGGTGGCTCACTTTTGGGGCTTACATTGTATTTGTACTGGACAGTCCTGCCCCTGAATAACAGAAAGGGGTTACAGCTTATCACTCTTTGGTTTTCCTGAGTCGCTGCCAGCCTACTTGATAATGTACAACCAGAAAAAAATGGTAACAGTCACACAGAAAGATTATGGAGTGAGATCTTCACACCCTCAAGATGTGTGTCTTTTTTTGGCCCCTCTTGGGATCGGGAGAGAAGTGTAAATTCACATCCTGTTATGTTTGTGTTTGTTTAGCATTTAAAAGGCAGGGCAGGTGAAAATGTTTTTGGTATCCAGTTGCCTTGACGTTACAACTTAGTTGAGACTGCTTTCACCCAGGGAAAGTTTCCAACTGACCTGAAAGAACAATTATGGGGTGGTTCGGTATCTGGGTGTCCGGAGCACTGGATACTGATTAGGTTACATACTTGTGGCTGGTACGTGGCAACTTTATACAGAAGGCTTGTGCCCTTTTGGACCCTTAAGTACAGCCTCATACAATGACCTGGATGCTTTCTGTGTTAGAATCTAGAAAAGATAGAAGGAGCAAGTGTGTGGCTAACTCTTAGACAAGAGGCTACAGTCTCCCCAATGACGTAACACATTACTTGAATGTTTCTCATTGTAGTGATGTGAAAGTATGACTTTTTAGTGAACTACTGACTTACGCAAACTTGTTTGCTTGTAGGCCTATTTTCAGCTGGCTTTGCTAACCTCAGTACCCAACCCCCTTTTAATAAATACATCCTACTGATAAGTGGCTCTTCGTGTAGACTTTGCCACTCTTGGTACTGCATGAGGGTGGGGTTACGGGGATGATGAGCCCTGGAGAAAGCCTTAGGTTTAAAACTATCTGTATCTGGCTACAGTCTACAGCTTGCTCTCGTGTTGATGTTATTAGGCAGATGCAGCCATTAGGAAAAAGTTGATGTCTGCAGAATGAAGTAGTTCATCAGGCTTTTATTATTATTTTATTATTGTTGTAATTTTATTTGTACTAATCTTTAGCTCTCCCATCACCAGTGTTATCACACATATGAGTAGATCCTCAGTGAATGCTAAGCACAGGTCTAAACATTGCACAAGTGTTAGCTCATTTAATATGCTTAACCACTCGTTGACGTAGCAACTATTTACTTCCATTTTGCAGTTGAGGAAACTGAGGCACAGGAAGGTTAAGTACCTTGACCACTGTCACACAGCTGGGAAGTGACAGAGCAGCGTTTGACCCCAGTGTGGCTTTATTTCCTTCCATCCTCTCAGGAGGTCACCCCTAGAGGACTCTCGGTTGACCTCGCATTGGTGAATAGCCCTTCAGGGTCCCCATGACGTGGGTTGTATATCATGTGTTAGTGGAGGCGAGCCGTCCGCTCAATGTGTGTCTTAGTCTCCCTACTTGGTATTATGTCAGGGAAGTTATTTGTTTATCAGATTAATTCATGGTTCTTGGCACTTTGCCTTTCAGATGATTTGGTAAAAGTTTTTCCAAAACAAATGATCTTTTACAATGTGTGTCAAGAGTAGGGTCAGTAACAGAAAACCCAGCTTTTGGTGGGTTAACCAAACGGGAATTTTGATTTTTTCCTTGTAAAAGAAGCCCAGAGGTAGGGAGCTCAGGACTTTGTGGAGGCTCTGTGGTGCTGTCAGGACCCAGGCTCCTCTGCCATCCTGTCCAGCCATTCTCAGCCTGTGGTGTTCGTCTTCATACCAAATACCTCGATGCGTGACGGCTGCTGCACCTCCAGGGTGACGTTCCTGTTCCAGGCAGGAGAAAGGAGACCCAGAGACGACAAACGCCTGACGGGCACCAGGGCTTCCCCTTCCAAGAGCTCTCCTGGAGGCTCCATCCGAGCCTGGGCTTACGTCTTAGTTGCCACAACTGTCATGTGACCCCCTCCTACTACAGGGAAGGCTGGTCACTGTAGTTTTTTTATTTTTAAGTTGGGTACATTGTGATCCTGAAAAAAATGAGTTTATTCAGTGAGGAAAAGGGGAGAATAGATATTTGTAGGCAGCCAGCAGTCTCTGACACACAGTAATTTACACGCACTGATATTCATAGATCAATTCTCAAAGTAGGACACGTGACATGTTTCCCGCTTCCGTCAAGCCCATGGGTCTGCCCTGTTTTAGGAATAATGTTGTCTGTTCATTCCTGTTTTCTCAGGTCAAAACCTTAGCTCATCTGAGGTCTTTGTCTCTAAGTTTGATTTAAAAATTAGATGTTGCATTGTAAAACGTAGCTTCCCAAGTTGTGTTTCAGCTTTCAGGCCATTGGGGGTGTGTCTTCAACAAGGTGGAAGGGCTTGGGTTTGTCCCAGCTGCCCCGTCCGCCCAGCCCTTGGTCACTGATCAGTCTGGAATGGGCAGGCTGGCAGTAAGTGTGTTGTTGAGCGAGCGTGTCTATAAAACCAGCTGTAGCCCCCGAACAGAAGTCAGCTGG